CACCCTATAGCAGGGGTCGGCAACGTTTGGCACGCGGCTCGTCAGGGTAAGCACCCTGGCGGGCCGGGCCAGTTTATTTACCTGCTGACGCAGCAGGTTCGGCCGATCGCGGCTCGCCGTCCCGGGCCAATGGGGGCAGCGAGAAGCGGTGCGGGCAAGGGATGTGCTGGCCACGGCTTCCCGCCGCCCCCATTGGCCCGGGACCGCACCATAGTAAAAACTGAAAAATGTTTCATGATCGTTTTATTAGATTTAACTCACGTTTTTAAATCATCACACAAATTAGAGTTGGCTATCCAAGCCTACTATGAAGCACTATATCTACATCTTTCTTGTTGTAATTTTTCACAACTCTGTTAATAAACTTCTCAAATGCAGTGCATTCATCTTTGGTGGCTTCTCATGTGTTAGATACTTCCAGTCCTTCATGATATGCTCATGATCAGGCAGAAGGCGACTTCTTTCAGAACACAAAATTCTATTCATTGAGGAAAAAGAACGCTCAACTGTAGCTGTTGTGACTGGAAGTAGAAAGAGATGAATTCGTACTTCTTTCATCCCAGGAAACACAGCACAAAAATTGGGTCGAACCATTAGTGATGATAAAGAAGAAGTTGAAATCAAGTCTACATTCATTCATCATATGATATTCCACTCTGTGTTCAAATTCTCTGTTCTGTCCTGATCACATGGCAGCCCCATTGCTGGTAGTGCCTCACTCCACTCAGCTGTCAGTGTTTTATAAGACAGGCATCTGTAAAAGCTACGTAGAGGTTGATGGAATCCAAAAGTTGTTGTAGAGATGTAAGAATTGAGTCCGTGTACTTTACTTTTTCAGCTGGCTTAACAAACACTTCTTGGCCTGGGCTACACTAGTGCGAGGGTTTGAACTAAGATATGCAACTTCAGCTACGCTATTTGCGTAGCTGAAGTTGAAGTATCTTAGTTCGACTTCCCTGGCCATCCTCACGGCAGCGAATCGACCGCTGTGGCTCCCCCGTCAAATCCGCTTACTACTCCTGCCGAGGTGGAGTACGGGCGTCGATTCGGGGATCGATTTATCGCATCTAGACGAGATGTGATAAATCGATCCCCAATACATCGAACACTACCTGCCGATCCCGGTAGTATAGATGTACCCTTAGTCTTCATTTAAGGAGTTAATATAAGTGTCCTAATTAGTCAACTTCTGAACTGAGGTCTTTGCTTCTTCTAGTATGTTTTCAATGGATATCTCTCTGATTGATCCAAGTGTAGCTTCCATTGCTGGACAGAGATCTATTACTGTTGGAGTAGATGCCTGGATGGCATTGTATAATGACCCAAGTGGTTTCAACAGTTGACTTACAAGAGAGAATGACGAATGTGTTCTCTGAACTTAGTAGCGAAAGTAGTCCACCAGCCTCACTAATTAGATCCATCCCATCTCGGTAGATACTTTCCAAAGCCAATAATAATGGTTGCAGTAATTTTAAGACAACAGCCAAGGATCACTCATGAGAAAGCCAGTGGATTTTCCCAGGAAGGACTAATTTGAACTTCTGTCCCAATGTATCTTCTATATTTTCCAAGATGCCTTTAAATGCCTTTTGAAGATTCTGCAGCTTGTACTAGTAGTAGTAGATGATCTCTGCAGTGTGTATTGGAGAGATTAGAGTTACACTTTTCTCTGAGCAAAGCTTGTACTCCACCATGTCTTCCAGAGAAGTTTGCAAGCTCCATCAAATACACACGCAGCCATCTGTTTGGGGGTCAATTGACAAGCATTTAACTCTTCTAAGATGTGGGTTGTCAGAGATGCAGCCGATGTGTCTTCTATAAACTGAACCTCTAGAAATTCATCTACTGATCTCCCACTGATATCAAGATAACATAGGCAGTGACTTAATACTTGACACCCATTTGCGTTGGTGCATTCATCAGCCATGTATGCACATTTTCTGAATGCGGTGAGAGAGTTCTTCACTTTTTCAACTGCTGAGTCTTTCACTGTTGCACTGCATGCTTCTAACCAGTCAGTTGAGTTTCTTGCAGAAAGATAGTGAGCATTTGCTGGTCTTGGTCGTAACCAGTGTCCAACTTCTGGATTAACAAATGACAATGCACTTAACATTGGCCTCCAGTCTGTAGTGTGTGGTATCTCTTGCTTAAAGAGAAAGTATGATGTGACAGCCATGTTTGTTTGCATAAACTGTGTTGTGTCTCCAGCATTCTTAACAGCCTCATTAAGTACTGCTAAAATTGGCTTTGACAATGACTGGCTTATAAAGCTTTCTGCATGTTGATGCAGTCCAGAGGATTGGTGTTTTTCAGCCTTTTCACATAGTTTGTCAGCATTGGCTTTGCTGATCAGTCTGGCAAACCAAGCTCCTCCACTTTTACTATATAAATCATGGTATGCTCACATATTGAATACTGTGTGCAGTCCTGGTCACCCCATCTCAAAAAAGATATATTGGAGTTGGAAAAGGTACAGAGAAGGGCAGCTAAAATGATTAGACATATGGAACAGTTTCCATATGAGGAGAGATTAAAAAGACTGGGGAACTTTCCGGCTTGGAAAAGAGGCTGTTGGGGGGGGAAGGGGTGTCTATAAAATCTTGACGGGTGTGGAGAAAGTGAAAAGCTCCCTCACATAACACAAGAACTAGGGGTCACTCAATGACATTAATTGGCAGCAGATTTAAAACAAACAAAAGGAAATACTTCTTCACACAACATACAGTCAACCCGTGGAACTTTTTGTTGTGAAGGCCAAAGCTAGAACAGAATTCAAAAAAGAACTAGATAAGTTCATGGAGGATATGTCTATCAATGTTAGCCAGGATGGGCAGGGATGCAACACCATGCTCTGAGAGCCTGTTTGCCCGAAGCTGGAAGTGGACGACAGGGAATGGATCAGTCAATAATTGCCTTGTTCTGTTAATTCCCTTTGAAGCACCTGGCATTGGCCACTGTCGGAAGACAGAGTACTGGGCTAGATGGACCATTGGTCTGACCCAATATGGCCATTCTTATATAAAAATTAATTATAATATAATAATGATTAGTACAGAAACTCCCAAAACACCAGCCAAAATTGATCACTTGGGCAACACAGCTTTGTCTGCTGGATACCTAGGCAGAGTAGGTGAGTTCATGTAAATACAGTCTGGTTCTGAAGCCTTCCCCCCAACCCTGGCTCATCATTATCTGTCAGGGAAGAGCTCATTCAGACCTTGCTTACAAATCATAATTTTAAATTATAAAGTTGGCTAACATTGCTGAAACGAATGTGCCAACATTGTCAGAAATAACAACAGCTGTGTGAGGAAGCTAGTCTTTGTTCATACTTTTCAAACCTATTATACTTTTTCAGGTACAAGTGTTTTATCAAACATTGTATATGCTTTAAAAGTGTGTATTAATGTTTCAATTTCAATTCAAATTTCTAACCAATGACAAAATGGTAACACTGTTGTAACTAGTTGACCACTGGGGGGTGTTGGGGAAATTCAGGGGGGGTGTACAGCCCCCTGGGGGGATGTAGGGAAGGCCCGGTTTCACTGAATTAAGTCTCCTGCTGCAGCACCTGAGTAGGTTACATCAAAGAGGAACTGCAGTGACTAGGCATTTGGATGCCTGTGCCTTTAAGAACTCAGCCCTGGGAAAGCCCATGCTGAGAGGTGTGGTCTGTGGGAGGGGAAATAAAAAAAACTCTCTGCTCCCCCCACCCCCTATTCTTTTGACCAAACACTGGTGTCTCAGTGCACCGGGGTAACTGTTATCCCCTCTGCCCCTCCCTGTGCCGGGGTTTTGCCCTCTGCCACCCTCTGGCAGTGCCTCACCCCTAGGCTTAACTCTGTCTCCTTCCCCTCCCCCCATCCGTGATTTTGCTTTCAGCCCCTATCCTAACCCTGCTTCCAGCTGCTTGACCACCCGGCCAGTCAATTTTCACCCCCTGCTCAGACCCTGGCCACCTCCCTCCTCCGATTTCCCCCCTTTGCCCCTTTAACTCCTGTAAAAAGCAGTCAGCAGAATCTTATGGCTAATAAGGGCAGGGTGAAGGGCAATGGCTTCAGCAGATGTTAGTGATCATGCTCAGTTTGTGTGAACATGCAAAAAAGCCCCTCTGATCAAATAAAAAGGCCCCTCTGCCCACCCACCCTATTTTTTTGGCCAAACACTGGTGTCTCAGTCCACCGGGGTAACTGTTACCCCCTCTGCCCCTCCCTATGCCGGGGTTTTGCCCTCTGCCACCCTCTGGCAGTGCCTCACCCCTAGACTTAACTCCATTCATATAAGTCTCTGCAAGATCTGGCCCGAAGTGACTTTTTCTTAGGTTTGCGGCTTTGTGACAGATTTTAAAATGTGACCAACTTTGCTCAAAGTCTTGTGAAACTTTTGACAAACCTGAGCCCCAGTCCTACTGGACTCCATGCAGGCACCAGAAACTGAAAAAAACCAGCAAACACTTTTACAAGCTGTATTACAAGAGCCCACTCAACTCTTAGTGGAAAACAACCTAAACACCAGTTTTACAAACTTCACTGGGTTATGGGACCTAAACCACAGAAACTTACATGCCAGTTGTTGGTGGGAGGAGTGGTAATAAGTTCTGTGGTTTCTCACCTCAAGCCTCGTGAAACTTGTATAACTGGTATTTATGTTGATTTCAGCTAAAAAATACCACTTTGTAATATTGTGTTAGTCTTCTATAATAGTTGATGTAGCTGCATACTACATATGCCATACTACAAATATTTTTGAATGACCCTTTTTATCTTACAATGATATCTCTATTTAAAATACAGAAGTGCAGAAGATCAAGTAATAGAAGTTACCCTCCCATAGTCTAGAAATGCCACAGATTTCAGGAGGGAAACATCCTGTAGTACAGATTTCTTTTGCCTTTGGTCATAAAAAACATCCACTCTGATGTGAAAGATAAGTGCTGATAATGATTAACATCAAACTGGAAAACGGGGGGCATTTCAAATAACCTGACAGTTTAGCCTCTGTGTCAGCGACATGCTTGAAAGGAGAGAAATATACTGTAACCTAGATTTCAAAGGTCACAGTAATACTGCCCCAAGCATTTTCAAACCCATGATTTATGTGCCAGTGTATTAGCAATATGGATGGTTGCAAGGTTTGGTCTGTTCTGCTGATTATAGTTTACAGCCTGTCCCAAAGATGTATGCCGTGTGGTATTTCAACACATATTGAAATAGGTAAGATACATACAAATATGCATTTTAGCATAATATTTTAAATTGCTTGCAAAGGAAAGCGAATACAGGATTGGCTAGAAAATAGGATCACTGGAAAGTGAAGGACAGTGATCATGCAAATTCCATCTTTCTTAGACTAAATAGCAGATATGAATGTCTGAGTATATATCCTGTCTGGAGCTTGTGCTGTAGCACTAGTTTTCCTGTTTATTTTTATGTTAGGTGTTTAGATCAATGTGAATTCTTTTATCTTCTAAAATGTGTGCATCATGTAATTGGAATGTTTGTATTTGTGTCTATGGATCTTATACAAAAATGGCCTGGTTAGCAGAAAGAAGAGAAGAATTAGCCTAATGCTTAACTTCACCAATACTATCATCTTTCTGATCACAGAATATGGGATATTTAAATTACAACTGATTTTCTAGGAAATAATTTATGGCTTATTTATATTTCTAAATGTTCTTTGTTGCTACATGGGTGTCTTAATTATATCAGCTTTCTCTGTTCAAATTGTTTTTAATAATATTGTACATTTTCAAAGCACTGTATATTAACTTCTTTGTAAAATAGGTAGTGAAGTATGATGCTGAATTTGTCATATAAAAATAAAAGTGCCAAAGTCTCTGTTGTACTTTTATTTGAGGTTGGTAAATATCCAGTTAAGCTAATGCCAAATAACATTATGCAACACAGAATCAAGGAGAGATGGGGCAAACTGGGGTGGAGGGCAGGGAAGAGGAATCATACATATTTTTGTTTGAATTTTTAAATAAATTTATTTTATTGCATCTGCTTTCTGGAAATATTCTACCAAATGAGTTTACTGGCAAGAATATTAATGGAAACAGTGAATTTTAAGTGAATGTTGCAGAATGTTCACTCACAACAAATTTTTAATTCATAATTTGTGAGTACTTGCACCAGAAATCCTGACTCTTAGTATTCATCTTAACCAAATACGGAATAAAAACATAGCATGTGGCCTTTGGCCAATCAAACTTCTCAAATTTCAAATATTGAATATTTGCAATTGTGAACAAGTTACAGACTAAGATTATGCACAGAATTTATTCAGGGCCAGGTTGTGCCCTCTTACAGTGTGTAGTACTGTAGGCTGGATCCTGCAAAGACATATGCAGATGCTTAACTTTGTACACCATGAGTAGTCCCATTGAAATTAATAGGACAACTCATAGAGCATAAAGTTAAGTAGCTGCATACGTCTTTGCAGGATTTAGGCTAAAGGTGCTTACTGTGAATAAGGATGGCAGAATCTGCAAAATTGAGATAATTCCAATCTGCTTGCAGAAAATTCAGAGACAAAATTTGACAGATTTATTCCAAATTAATCCACTCATTCTAATAAAGGACAAAATTGATATATTTTCCAAATTAAAAAAAGGCTACATTTATTTAATCCGTTGATCATGATTACCTGAGTAATGCTCCTTATAATTCGCTATTGGGTCACAATATATAACCATATTTTAGTTATTTGTCTGAAAATACCACTCATTGGACCCAATCTTTCTCTCACTGAAGTCAAGCCTGTTATCACTGAAGCAAATTGGAGTTCTGCCATTCACTTAAGTGGTGGCAGGACTGGACCCATAGTTAATAAAGATATCCAGTGCTAATGCAGGTAAAGACATTTCATTTCCTAAGCCATTTCTAGTTTACAGATCCATGAGTTACACTTTATAGAAAACAAACCTGGCAGAAATGGAATAGAATTTGATTTCATATAACACTTTTTATGTTCACATTTCTCAAAGGACTTTAAAATTAATTATATAGTCAAAATGTTGACTAAGTTTGGTGTAGGTAGCAATGCTTCCTTGCACTCTACTTGCTATGGCCATTCAAAAACATGTGCATGGACAAACATATACACCTGAGTGGAGCTCCATTGACGTCCGTTCCTGAGGCTCTACCATTGTAAAGATCTGCCTGCGACGGCGTAGATCAACTTGCAGAATCAATATATTTGATTAATAGTGTGTATGGAGGAATAGAAGAAATAAATTGCCAATCCAAGAATTCCAGGCACTGGAAATTATGTCTCTTCTCTGTTTAAAATATAGAACTAAGAAGGTGGAAAGGCCTATTAAGTCATCTTGTCTATTCCCTTGCTGATGAGAGATTGTTCTCTAAAGTATCTGTGTGTGCTTTGTATACTATAGTTTTAAATGGTCCAAGCTACATTAATAGTCAAAATGAAACGAGTATTCATAGCAAGAATTGCATAGCTGGTGGGTTTGCAGTTTGAACCAAATCCTTTTACAGAGAGAATATATGTAAATAAATTGTCTCCAGGGATTGTCACATTAACACAAGTCAAATGTAATCAAAGTTTGAACAATATTTCACTTTAAAATAGTGATGCCCATTTATTTTATTCTATAGTGTGATGCTTGCCTAGTAAGTACTGCTTGGCAATGTGCATGCCTAACTGATCAATGAGTAAACACTCTTTACTTTGCTGACTGCAGATTTTTGTTTTTCATGTATGGTAAAAATTAATCAAGTAGTTAAACATTAACAATGGGTCACAGGTTATATCTGATTCAATACCTTAGGGGAACAAAGAAACTTAAATGGTATGTCTATAAAAGAATTAATTAAAATTACAAGAATTACTTTCAAACTCAAATTCCAAGTAGCCTATCTAGTGGTACCTAGAATTTTGTGGAACATACCATATCAAAGCTGTGTGAATGAGCATTCCATTCCTTAATTGTGATAGTCTGGGCTCAGACGTAAGAAGACCCTTTGTTGTGTTACAGTACTAGGCTGGCCAATGCAGCTTGTGGTTTCTGGGAACTGGAGAGTCAAGGAGAACAAGGTCTCAGTCTGTGTCCAAAAGCATCAAAGAAATATCATCTTTGCATTCATTAAAACCGAGTACCATCTATTTGCTATGAGGCGAGAACATGTCATTTACCACATGGGAAATGTCAAGAGGAGTGATGTGCTGTATGCCAATGCCAGTTGTGTTATAAGTACACTTCAATTCATTCTAGCACCTATATTTTGACAGTACTTCTAACGAAAGCTGGGCCTAGCCACGATACTTTTAAGTTAGTTTTTAATATTATATGTTGTTTTTCAGCACACCGAGCTCTGGAATTTTTCAGTAAACATGAAGGGAATGTTAACTACAGAAAGGTAAGGAAGCATATTATTGTTTAATTGCATATATGTTGTGACAATTTCCTCTGCCCACTTTTTGTCTAGTTGTCAATCTTCAGACAGCGAGCTCATCAGATTCACACCTTTTCGGTGTGGAAAGTGCTTTGCCTATGCTGCACGCAACCGGAAATAAATATATAATAACTACCATTAGGTAGTTGTGTAGTTGTACAGAATTTTTTCTGCTTGTATTCTTGCCAACTGTCTTAAATTAATTAGTATTCCTCTTGAGGTAGATGTCTGGAGGAATTAATCAATGACTCCTGGAATGGAGATTTAACAACAAAAACAAGTAACAAACAAGAGTCAAGTTTGTGTTTTCATCAGCCACATGTAATATCACTTCAGATGAGAGAAAAGGTTTGTGTAATTATAGCACACTTCTACAGCCTTACCGCAGCCAGAAAAAACACTTTAAGCATGTGCTTCTCTTTAAGTATGTCTGAGTAATCACATTGAATGTGTGCATACATACTTGTATATACAGTAAACGCTTTGTTATCTGGCATGTTGGGGAAATTGGAATTTTTGATTAACTGGCACTCCCTGTTAACTAAGGGTATGTCTACACTACGAGGGTAGTTCGATTTCACTTAAATCGAATATGTGGAATCGATATTGCAAAGTCGAACGTGTGTGTCCACACTAAGGAGAGTAATTCGACTTTGTGAGTCCACACTAATGGGGCGAGCGTCGATATTGGAAGCGGTGCACTGTGGGCAGCTATCCCACAGTTCCCGCAGTCCCCGCTGCCCATTGGAATTCTGGGTCGAGCCGCCAATGCCTTCTGGGTCAAAAAATGTGTCGAGGGTGCTTTTGGGTAACTGTCGTCATCCGTCCGTCACTAACGCCCCCCCTCCCTCCCTGAAAGCGCCGGCGGGAAATCAGTTCGCGCACTTTTCTGGTCAGTGACAGCGCGGAAGCCACAGCACTGCGATCATGGATCACGCTGCGACCATCGCTGCAGTTGTGGCCGTTCTCAACACCTTGCAGCTTATCATACACCTTTCCCTGAGGCAGATGCAGAGAAATCAGGCGAGGAGGCTACGGCACCGCCGTGATGGCCTGAAGTCGGAGAGTAGCACAGAGCTGTCAGAAACCACGAGACCCAGCGCCCAGGACATCACGGTGGCAATGGGTCATGTGGATATTGTGGAATGGCGATTCTGGGCCCGGGAAACAAGCACGGACTGGTGGGACCGCATAGTGCTGCAGGTCTGGGATGAATCCCAGTGGCTGCGAAACTTTCGCATGCGGAAGGGGACTTTCCTCGAACTTTGTGAGTTGCTGTCCCCTGCCCTGAAGCGCAGTGACACCTGGATGCGAGCAGCCCTGACTGTCCAGAAGCGAGTGGCCATAGCCCTCTGGAAGCTTGCAACGCCGGACAGCTACCGGTCAGTCACGAACCACTTTGGTGTGGGCAAATCTATCATGGGGGTTGTTGTGATGCAAGTAGCCAACGCAATCGTTAAGGTACTGCTCTCAAAGGTAGTCACCCTGGGAAACGCGCAGGTCATCATAGATGGCTTCGCCGCGATGGGATTCCCAAACTGCGGTGGGGCTATAGATGGGACTCACATCCCTATCCTGGGACCGGACCACCAGGCCAGCCAGTACATTAACAGAAAGGGCTACTTTTCAATGGTGCTGCAAGCACTGGTGGACCATAGGGGACGTTTTACCAACATCAACGTCGGATGGCCGAGCAAGGTTCATGACGCTCGTGTGTTCAGGAACTCTGGTCTGTTTAGACGGCTGCAGGAAGGTATTTACTTCCCGGACCACAAAATAACTCTTGGGGATGTGGAGATGCCTACAGTGATCCTCAGGGACCCAGCCTACCCGCTAATGCCCTGGCTCATAGAATCATAGAATATCAGGGTTGGAAGGGACCTCAGGAGATCATCTAGTTCAACCCCCTGCTCAAAGCAGGACCAATTCCCCACTAAATCATCCCAGCCAGGGCTTTGTCAAGCCAGGCCTTAAAAACCTCCAAGGAAGGAGATTCCACCACCTCCCTAGGTAACATGAAGCCCTATACTGGCGCCCTGGACACAGAAAAAGAACTCTTCAACTACCGGCTGAGCAAGTGCAGAATGGTGGTGGAGTGTGCTTTTGGCCGTCTCAAAGGGAGATGGAGAAGCTTACTGACTCGCTGTGATCTCAGCGAAACCAATATCCCCATTGTTATAGCAGCTTGCTGTGTGCTCCACAATCTGTGTGAGAGCAAGGGGGAGACCTTTATGGCGGGGTGGGAGGTTGAGGCAAGTAGCCTGGCTGCTGATTACGCCCAGCCAGACAGCCGGGCGATTAGAAGATCCCAGCGGGACGCGCTGTGCATCTGGGAGGCTTTGAAAGCTAGGTTCCTGAATGAGCAGGGTAACCTGTGACTTTTCAGTTTGTGTACAGAAAAGCTGAACCTGCCCCCATTTCTTTACCCAGTTCATTTTGACTATCCTCTCCAGTTACATACCCCCTTCACCCTCTTCCCAAAAAATAAAATCAGTTCTATTTTGTTAATGAACACCGTTGTCTGTATTACTGTTTTCGCGGGAATGTTTTAAACCGGGGACGCAGACTGTGGCGGGGGGCGGGTTTAGTGTTCTGATGCAAATGATGCTTCTAAACTCCAGGACTGACAGGCTCCGCAGTGGTGGACTGGTTATTTCAATGGAGCCTGCCAGCACTCCTTGGGGGGACTGCGTGTATGTGTCGGCTATGTGACTTTCTGGCAGGGGGAGTAGGGTTACTGATCCCCTGCTTCGTGGATCTGTGAGCCAGGATAAGGACTGCTGCATAAGATCTGTAACTGCCCTCCCCCGCTACAAAGTCACAGAGCAACCCCCCCCCCAGAACATGAAAACCACCTCCAAGACTGACCAGGGTAACCAGTGACTGCACTGTGTATGTGTCCTGATGCTGGACCTGACCCCGCCTCTGTAGCCTGCTAAAGGTGACTGTCCTGTCCAATTACCAAGCCCCTTCCCCCCTTCAGACAGACTCTCCTCCAAAAGAACAGGATGGAAACAGTAATGAACAGAAACAAATATTTTATTATGAACCACACATGAAACGTGGGGGATGAAACTTGCACGGGGGCTTGTGTGAGGTTGGTAGGAAAGGACTTTTCAAATTTTGGGGAATGAGAGCCTTCTAGTGCTAGAGCAGTCTGCAGGGGTTGACTGAAAGTTTTAACGGCCCTTGCCGCCCCTCCTTCTTTGAACTTTGGGTGAGGGGGGTGTGGGACTTGGTGGCGGGGGAGGGCGGTTAGAGATAGACTGCAGCGGGGCTCTCTCCTCCTGCCTCCGATCCTGCAGAACATCCACAAGGCGCCGGAGCGTGTCCGTTTGCTCCCTCATTAGTCCAAGCAGCTTTTCAGTAGCCTGCTGGTCCTCCTGACGCCACCTCTCCTCCCGTTCCATGACTGCTCGGTGCATTTGTGACAAGTTCTCCCTCCACTGTGTCTGCTGGGCTGCCTGGGCTCGGGAGCAGCCCATTAGTTCTGAGAACATGTCTTCACGCGTCTTCTTCTTCCTCCGCCTAATCTGCGCTAGCCTCTGGGAGTGCGCTGACAGGCTGGGTTGGGAGACAGTCGCAGATGTGTCTGTGTGAATTGTAAAAAGGGAGTGAATTCCTGAGACAGATAAATGAAGTTGTGTACAAAGAACCTAGTCTTTCTCTGTGAACAAGACCATGCACTGCACCTCTCACATGCGCACTCAGGACAAGGTCGAATTTTCGGCCCTCGCCTTCAGTGCCTGTGGACTTGCAGTGGTCTTGCAGTGATCTGAGAAGCGTGGCTGGACACCTGAACTTCTGTAGCGGGCAATCATGGTAAGCCGTAGACTTGTGGCTGCTTAAAACTGTAATAGTAGCACTGGCCTCCTTTCACATTGAAAGCAATGCCAGTCTCTGCTGCCAGCAATCAGGACAGCATCAACTCTGCCCCTGTCCCACCCCCTCGCGGCTGTCCCAGGGAAAGATCCCTGTATGCTGCCCCTCTCCCTCCACCGCGTGGCTGTAAAGCAGGCCCAATACTAACATTCCCCTCCCTAATTCAAAGCAGGGCGTCATGAGCGACATCACCCTTCTGAGGATCTCGGACAGCCAGAAGGAACGCATGCTTAGGGAAAGCATGCAGAAACCTGGGCCGTATGCCGCCATGCTATGTCGTGCGATGATCCCGGAGTACTATATTGTGTCGTGGCGGGGAAACGTCTCCTACCACGGAGGGCCCAATAAGATCGCCCTACCCAGGAACCTGATGAACAGGCTGGAAATCTACCTCCATGAGACCTACGAGGAGTTCTCCTATGAGGATTTCGCCTCAATCCCCGGCCATATTGACCGGATTTTCGCGTAGGTGCACTGGCACTATTGAGTGCAGCGTCTTGGGCCGCAGAATCATGAAGTACCGGACATTGTAAAAAAAATTTTAAATACTTGGGACTAAATTGTGAAGAGCCTAAGGCAGACAAATCATGAGAAACCCTTTGTTACCATTGTAAATATTCCAGTTTTGTTGCAGATAATTTTTTACATGTTTAAAGCACTTTAGTCAAAACACATTGTTAATATTATAAATATTCCCGTTCTGTTAAAAATAAATGTTTACATGTTTACAGCACTTACTGCTTGATCCTTCCCCTGATTCTGTGTCCGGGGTAAGGGATGGGGACGGTTGGTAGGGGATCTTGGTAAGGGTGATGAAGAGCTCCTGGCTGTCGGGGAAATCAGCGGTGCCAGCGCTGTCGACTGCCTCATCCTCCTCATCTCCTTCTTCATCTTCCCCATCCGCTAACATGTCCGACGAGGAACCGGCCGCAGACAATATCCCATCCTCAGAGTCCACGGTCAGTGGTGGGGGTAGTGGTGGCGGCCGCACCTAGGATGGAATGCAGTGCCTCGTAGAAACGGGATGTGTGGGGCTGGGATCCGGAGCGTCCATTTGCCTCTTTGGTTTTTTGGTAGCCTTGTCTCAGCTCCTTGATTTTCACGTGGCACTGCGTTGCATCCCGGCTGTAGCCTCTCTCTGCCATGGCTTTAGAGATCTTCTCGTAGATCTTAGCATTCCTTCTTTTGGAGCGCAGCTCTGAAAGCACGGACTCATCGCCCCACACAGCGATGAGATCCAAGACTTCCCGATCAGTCCATGCTGGGGCCCTCTTTCTATTCTGGGATTGCACGGTCACCTCTGCTGGAGAGCTCTGCATCGTTGCCACTGCTGCTGAGCTCGCCACGATGTCCAAACAGGAAATGAGATTCAAACTGCCCAGACAGGAAAAGGAATTCAAATTTTCCCGGGGCTTTTCCTGTGTGGCTGGTCAGAGCATCCGAGCTCGGACTGCTGTCCAGAGCGTCAACAGAGTGGTGCACTGTGGGATAGCTCCCGGAGCTATTAGCGTCGATTTCCATCCACACCTAGCCTAATTCGATATGGCCATTTCGAATTTAGCGCTACTCCTCTCGTTGGGGAGGAGTACAGAAGTCGAATTTAAGAGAGCTCTATGTCAAACTAAATAGCTTCGTGGTGTGGACGGGTGCAGGGTTAATTCGATGTAACGGCGCTAAATTCGACATAAAAGCCTAGTGTAGACCAGGCCTAAGAGTTATACTTACCAATGGAATACCAATTTTCAAAGAATTAGAATACAATAAAATGAATAAAGTAGAAAATAGTAAACAGATACTCACCAATCCAGTAGTAGTACTGCACTGCAGAGTGGTTGGTTTCTTGAAGCACTTAGGTGCATTCAAGTAAAGTTTTCTATACAGTAAGTTATCTTATGACACTACATATCACTATGGGCAGCACATAACGTACACCCAGATCACTAAAAATACACTTAGCATTAAAACTATGCTGAACATAATTTAATCTTTCTTTGATGATTCAGAAGGCACTTCATTCTCATCATTATCAACATCAGTTACCATTGTAGATGTAGAAGGTTGGGCTGAATCTGTAATGACCCTATGACACACTCTGGAAGCTGCTTTTTTGAATAAATCCCTGATATCAGCTTGCTTACTTGTCTTCGGCCTCTTTTGCATATGAGTAGAGTGCAGAATGTGCAATTGCATAACCTCCTGGGCAGTATACTAGTCCCGCTTACTAGATTGAAGATTTGTATTGGTAGATATCAGTAATGCTGGTTAATAGAGCTTTCTAGTTGATAAAAGTGCCGGATATCACAGCTTTTACTGTAGTGCATTTAAAGTGCTTTTGGTATCCTTCAATGCAATATAAATTTTATTATTTATATTTAGGGCTGTCAAGTGATTAAAAAAATTAATCGTGCGATTAATCGCACGGTTAAACAATAAGAGAATACCATTTATTTAAATATTTTTGGACGTTTTCTACATTTTCAAATATATTGATTTCAGTTACAACACAGAATACAAAATGTACAGTGCTCGCTTTATATTTATTTTTATTACAAATATTTGCACTGTAAAAAACCAGAACCACCAAAAAAGAAAATCAGCCTGGTGGTGGCATCTGACTCAGATGATGACAATGAACATGTGTCGGTCTGCACTACTTTGGATCGTTATCGAGCAGAACCCATCATCAGCATGTACGCACGTCCCCTGGAATGGTGATTGAAGCATGAAGGGACATATGAATTTTTAGCGCATCTGGCACAGAAATAGCTCATGACTCGGCTACAAAAGTGCCATGCAAACACCTGTTCTTGCTTTCAGGTGACATTGTAAACAAGAAGCGGGCAGCATTATCTCCTGCAAATTGTAAACAAACTTGTTTGTCTGAATGATCAGCTGAACAAGAGGTGGGACTGAGTGAACTTGCAGGCTCTAATGTTTTACATTATTTTTGTTTTTGAGTGCAGTTATGTAACAAAAAAATTCTATATTTGTAAGTTACACTTTCACGATAAAGAGATTGCACTACAGTACTTGTATGAGGTGAATTGAAAAATACTATTTATTTTATCATTTTTACAGTGCAAATATTTGTAATCAAAAATAATAATATAAAGTGAGCACTTTATATTCTGTGTTGTAATAGAAATCAATATATTTGAAAATGTAGAAAAACATCCAAAAATAGTTTAAAAATTTCCATTGGTATTCTATTGTTTAACAGTGCGATTAATCACGATTAATTTTTTAATCACAATTTAATTTTTTGGAGTTAATCGTGTGAGTTAACTGCGATTAATCAACAGCCATATTTATATTATTTGGTCTTTTCTCAGAGTACTGGTTTTACTTAAGTGTTGTCCACTATTTTATTTTTTGTTGTATAATGTGAAGATTTTTTTGTTTTGTTTTGTGTGTTTGTTTTTGAAATCACTACAATGTAAACCAGTTAGTTTAGACTCTTTTTTTTTCTGCCCCACCCCTAATCTTGTAATCTGAAGTAATGTATTTGACTATTAGTTTTACTTTGGCAATATCGTGCTGAAGTGTAAATGTTGTCTTTGACTCATTGCACCTTAAGTATTCACTATAACCTTTTTCTGTCGTCGTTAATTGTATTCTGATTTCTTGTTCCCTCATCCTTTCCTCTCCCAGTTGTTACTAAACCATCAGGATGCATTTCAGGCTGGGAGCCTTTATCCTGATGCCTTTTATCCTGTTATCTGCAGGAATGGTAAGAAGAGGGTTTATTATAGTGGAGCTGTAGTTAAGGTTAAGAACAATTTCGGTTTAAAGCTAGACTTCTAAATGCTCTAAAATCTGTGTGGTTACTCGGATTGCTTTGAAATTTTGTGGCTTCCTGGAGCTCTGGGTAGGGATAGTAATCCACATTTGGGGTTATTTGAACAAGGGGTTCCTGAGACACAATCCTCTGAAAGAATCAGCTCTTAAGATTCACAGATTCTACTAACTTTTTGGGCACGCCTGGCTTCTAAAGTTCTCCTGGCGTAATGGGACACGAAAGGGAGGGTGAGCTGGAAATGGTGGCAGAGGTGGGGGGAGAGACACTGTATTAGATGCATGCTGGGCCTGTCTAGTTTTGGCCCGTTGCCCTCTCCAATCAGTCAGGAATGCCTCAGCTTGATGCGACACCAGTGTTCTTTATTTACAGTTGTTTTCCCGCCACCACTTTCCAACTATGTACGAGTTTCGCACCCAACTTTGCCAAGTGCAGGCCTGGCCAGCAACAGACCAGAAGGCTCCCAGCTCCCTCTGTGCCTGTGTCCCTTTCTCTTCCCCCCACTCCTCTGGTTTACTCCCAGCCTTTATAGCCCTGGCTAACGAGGCTGGCAGATGCTGCCCGTTACCAGGCAGACGCAGGGCTATCCAGCCAGCCCCAATCCATTCCCCTAGATTGGGGCTGGAGTGGCAGGGGCTGATTAAGTGCTTCTCACTCAGCACCCTGTCACAGACACATACTAGTCTTCTCCTAAGGCCTGGTCTACACTACGACTTTAATTCGGATTTAGCTGCGTTAATCCGAATTAACCCTTCACCCGTCCACACTACAGAGCCAGTTAATTCGAATTAAAGGGCACTTAAAATCGATTTCTGTACTCCACCTCGACGAGCGGAGTAGCGCCTAAATCGATTTTGTTAATTCGAATTAGGGTTAGTGTGGCCGCACACCACCGAATTACTGTGTTTAAATTAATGGGGTAGTGTGGCCGCACACCACCGAATTAATGTGGTTAAAAACCGAATTAATGTGCTTAGTGTGGCCGCGCACAATCGAATTTATACAACCTGTTTCCCAAATTCGAATTATCTAAATTCGGATTAATCCCGTAGTGTAGACATACCCTAATAAGTTAGGTCTACACATTACTTCAGTATAACTTACGTTGCTCAGGGGAGGGTGAATAATCCACACCCCTGAGAGATGTAAGTTACACCAACCTAAGCACCAGAACGGACAGTGCTATGCCAGCTGGAGAGCTTCTTCCGCCAACATAGCTGCCACCTCTCACAGAGGTGGAGTTAAGCTGACAGAAGAGCTCTGTCCCGTTGACTTCCAGTGTCTTCACCAGAAGCCCTACAGTGGCACAGCTGCAGTGTAGACATAGCTTATCTCATGACTGTTTGGGGGCCTATCTGAAATAAATTTGAATCCTAATGCTTTTTTTTTGGAGAATGAAAGTCCATATAAAAAAATTACGACTACAACTGGCATTATTGGTACCAATAGCTAAGTCTTCCCATGTTTCCAATTCATCTCCCCTTAAAAGTGAAAGGAAAATAGTAGGCAGTGAAATCATCCAGGAGACCCTGTCAATTTTGTTAGCATTTATACATAAAATCATGTTCTTTTCATTCATCATCTTTCCGGATTCTAGAAAATCTATTTGCTCTCTTCCTCCCCCAATAAAAGAGCTGCACTTGGATAGAATTCAAAGTTACACTACTAGGCACTGTAAAATTAACTCCCAGAGCATTACATAGGCACACAGAATTTGCTCTCCTGGCTCAGTATCAGATGAGACCAGACAGGGGTGAAAGTAGAAATAGGGACTTACCAGTACGGGGCTGGGTTGGGGCCGGCTCTGGGCCCCAGAAGGGGCGGGGCCTCGGGTGGAAGGGGCTGGGATGGGGGGGTCAGAGCCAGCCCCGGCCAGCCCTGTACCAGTAAGTGCCCTCCCCCTGCTGCTACCCCACCAGCGTAGCAGCTACAGCTGGGGGCTCTGGCAGCAGTTTAAAGAGCCCAGGACTCGGCCGCCGCTACCGCCCCGGGCCCTTTAAACTGCTGCTGGAGCCCTCAGCTGCCGCTGCTACCCCAGGGCTCTGGCAGCAGGGCTCCAAGGGCTATTTAAAGGGTCCGGGGCTCCCCTGCCTCTATCGCCCCAGGCCCTTTAAATAGCCCCCGGAGCCTTGGGGTAGCGGCGGCGGGGCTCCGGCAGCTATTTAAAGGGCCCAGGGCAGTAGAGGCAGCGGGAGCCCCGGCCCTTTATATAACCCCTGGAGCCCCGCTGCCGCTACCCCAGGGCTCCAGCAGCGGGGCTCTGGCAGCAATTTAAAGGGCCTGGGGCTCCAGCCGCTGCTGGGAGCCCCAGGCCCTTTAAATTGCCGCCTGGGGAAGCTGGGCCACCCCGGTATGGCGCACTGGCTCTTGCCGGTACGCTGTACCGGGGCGTACTGGCTTACTTTTACCTCTGAGACCAGATCCGAATTGTCCAAGTCCAAGCGAGGCCAGAGATGGTGACCAGATGTCCCGATTTTATAGGGACAGTCCCGATATTTGGGGCTTCTTCTTATATAGGCTCCTATTACCCCCCACTCTCTGTCCCTATTTTTCACACTTGCTATCTGGTCACCCTATTGATACTTCAGACGAAGACCTAATCTCCCCACACAAACCGATAATATACCTAATCAATTTTGCAATCTTGTACACAGAGATGATGGCTGTTTCCTTCCAGACCCTTGTGGCAGTCAGCTCATGCCCTGAAGCATGGGATTTTGATTTGCCTGGATTCCCCACTAGCTTGTCTTACCATAAAATCCAGTGCATTCATTTGGCCACCAGCCTCCCTCTTCACTCTGCTAGACTTCTCCCCTTAAGGTGCGATATACTTTTCTGTATCTCACTTACTCATAAACTATGAGGGCAGAGGGGGGTTGGAATAAGCGTTTCACATGTTTCCATCAAAAATACGGCAGGTAAATGTAGTATCTGTTTTGACAATATAAAATATGCACAAGTGCTTTTCAGTGACTCTTGGTACAATAAAATGTTTCAAAAGTAACATTCTTTGAATGTGCAATTGAGCAGAAATCTAACGTGTGGAGCAATTCAAATCAAGGAATAATTTTGGTTTTTGATGTTGCAGGAATATTCCATTATGTTTCTGAAGACACTCACTGGGCACCATTTCTCAACACTAGTATCCATTACATCAGGAAGAAGTATCCTCAGCCTTGGGAGGAGGTAGGAAAACCCCTTGAATTTACATGGACTTCTTAAAGCCTCCACCAACCATCTTTTTCACCTAAACAGTATTGCCAACTTCAAAAGATCAAAAATCATGAGTTGGACCCCCAAAAATCACAAGATTAAAAAATAAATTATGTTTTTAAGGTCGGTCTCTTGATATTTGAACTCCCCTGCCCATCCCTAGGGTATGTGCATGTTGCCCACTCTTCGACATGTACTAGATAAGGTGATTTTGGCCCCGCTACAAATACTCTCACCCCCACATCTGCTCGTCTCCTGCCCAGCAATTAATCCTGTTCCCCAACCCCCCAACAGTTCTGTCATCACCACCTCTTCAGTTCAGCGCCCCATCCCCATCGACCCCCATCGCCCTCAGTTCACCCTTCCAGCACTCACTCCCATCTGCTCAGAACCCACCATCAATACAGCCCCATCAGCCTCCACCTTCCTCACCTCACCCCTCCAGCTGCCTCCAGGCAATAGTTCAGCTCTCCCAGCCTCACCTCTGCTCCTTTTAGGATTCTTTGCCCTCCCCAGGCCTGGCGAGGCTGCAATGGGGTCCCCTCTCCCACTTCCCAGGCTGTCAGTTGGAGCCTGGTCGCCCGGGGCTGACAGCGATTTCAAAGTAAAATTAAGTCTCACTCATGATCTCGGGATAGAACTCTCAGATGTCAGTGTGACTGGGTTCCCAGTGGGGGCCAGCTGAGGTCACTCAGTTAGGATGAACTGCAAAGAATGGGGCAGATAATCTCCAAAACTCATGGATATTTTTAATACCTAGATTTACCACCCCAGCATAAAACAGCTTCTTTATTACCTCACTGCCCAGATACCAACAACACAGTTCCCTTAAAGTAACCCAGCCTCAGGCCTCCATCCAGGTACCCATGTCAAATATGATGAAGATTTCTGAAAATCTTATTTCATCATATAAAAGAAAAGGTTCTACCAATCCCAAAGGATCAGAAACATTACCTCCCAGGTTAATGAATATTCCAGATCTTACCCAAATACACACTACAGTCAATTCTTATTAACTAAACTAAAATTTATTTAAAAAGTAAAGGGAGAGACTATGGATAAAAGATCAATATACATACAGACATGAGTTCAATTCTTGAGGTTCAGATACATAGCAGAGATGGTGAGCTTTGTAGTTGCAGAGTTCCTTTAAAATTTAGTTCATAGGTTATAGTCCAATGTCCAATATCATATCCAGGGTGTACCAGCTTAACTGGGATCTCATCCTGCGACTCAAACTTCCCCGGATGAAGCTTAAGCAGATCTGAGATAAAAAGGATCAGGACCCAAGGAACTTTTATACAATTTCAGGTCTTCTTTGACAAGTCGGAGTCCTTTGGGGAACAATAGGTAATCAGGGCATCTTTGAAGTGGGTCCATCATCGGTACTTAGCTATACGAATTAACATAAGACAATCACCTGTTCCTCCACCATTCACTGGTGAGTTGCTATACATTTCAAAGAGAGATGAATACAGAGATATCCCATGCTTGCAATTCATTTAAATGCTAGGATGTTCTTTTGATCTTTGAATGATCAGAATACAGCATAGACAGGGGCTGTTGATTACATTGTTGACAACTGCCCATACATATGTAAATACACAAAAACACAAACGTTAGCTCCTCACATGTCTTTAAGGGTTGAATCTGAGTCATTTATTTTGCAGGATGTTTAACCCTTTCTGGCCATGCATCACAGTCAGGGTTGTTGTTTTTTTCCAGCCGTGGCTGGATCATATCCTTGGGGCTCATATCCTAGTCCCTGCCCCCTGGAGAGTTTGCCAGTTTTGTAGAATTTTGCGTGTCTTTGCTCAGGAGAATCCAGTAATTGCAATAGCAATTCAAGGCATTTTATAGGTTATCTCTGAAGTGCATTCCTAAACCTGGGAGGTTTGGGAAGAGCTTGCGCAGAGGCTGCCAGCATTTCCCCTGGCTCTGAACAGTATTGTTCATGTGGACTGTTTAACTTTCATGAGCTGTAAAGTTGTTGAGGGGGAAAATGTATCAGTTCCATATTTTAAAAAATCTCTAAAAGTGATCATGGTTTAGGGAAGACCACTTATTCTTGAAGAAACTCAACCAACACTGCTGAGGAATGTGTTCACAAATAACTTCTCTACTTTTTGCCTATGAAAGCTTGAAATAAACTTCTAATTAGACATAAGGTGGGACTTCATATCATATTGTATTAGAAGTGGATATATCTATTCCTAAGTGACAAAGGAATCCCTCTGAAATTATGCAGTGCTTTATTCTTCTACCTTTATGTTTAGTAGTGCTCGCACAGGTACTCCATTGTCTTGTCTATGAGACTACTAGAATAAGTATGGCTAAGTGGGCTCAGACTTGAAGGATGCCGTCGTGCCAAATATTCTGTCCCTGATCCAGCATAGCACTGATATGCTTAACTCAAAGGAGATGAGTAGGCCGACTGACATCAATAAAGTCAAGCATGTAACTCCGTAGTCTTGGACCTAATACAGTACTTAATGATAGGCATGTAACTAAATGCTTTGCAGGATCAGGAACAAAGACCCCAGATCCTTGAAGGTATTTAGGCTCCTAACTTCCAATGAAATCAATGGGAGTTAGGCACCTAAATACCTTTGAGGATCTGGGCCAAAGTTCTCAGCACCTTGTAATATAGAGCCCTTAGTGAGAAAGGGTTGCTGAATTGTATCCTTATTTAATGCACTGAGCAGATGAAATGCTAATAACTTTTTTTAAAGATAGTGGGGCTGTAGTAAAGTGATTGGGCATTACTACATGCATATTATTGTTGTTTAGGCTACAGAGAAACTGGTGGCTTTCCTGTTTGGAATTGCCTCACATATGGTGGCAGATGTGAGCTGGCATAGCTTGGGCATTCACCAAGGATTTCTAAGGACCATGGGAGAAGTAAGTGTACATCATTTTGTTGGTTAATCATACCTGTAGATATTGGTATTGATAATTTGTATTTACAAATAGGCTTTTAACCCAGGGGAAAAATCTAGGTCTCTGACCTTGGCAAGACTTACACGCACATGCTTAACTTCACACACTGATGTGACAAACATTTTGCAGAACAAAGTTGGCCAAATTTTGGGCCTATCAACTTTAGTGTCACTTTACTTGTCCTTTTCTGTTTGTACCGAAGGATGATCAAAATTGGCTTATTGTAATTGGTTTTATACATGAAATATTCTTTTTTTTATTTCCCCCCAGATTGATTTTCATGGCTCATACTCAGATGCTCATGGTACTGGTGATTTTGGTAATTTTTATTTTTACTGATATGAACTAATGAGATCCCAGTCCCTCTGTGAATACCAGTGTAGTGCATAGTCAAATTATGGGGATGATTCTGCCCCCGTGTATGCTGATCTGATGGTGTACAGGAGTCAGAAATGAGCCACAAGGACCCTGTCCTGTCTCCCTTCCACCACCCCGCAAGCCCTGGTGTAGGACCCATATGGATGGTGGCTGGGAATGGGAAGGGTGATTGCTAAGCTGTTCAGCACTATGTAGAGTCTGGGCTGTAATGCAGGTGTTGTAAATTAAAGTAGTGCCACTTCTCCCTCCCCACCCCTCCCTATGTCATTTTGGCTCTCCTTGGCAACAGAGTCTGGATGGCCAGATTCTGCATAAAATCACTTTTGCCCTCCGACCCTGGTGGTGCAGCTGCTGTGCATCTCTCAGAAGATACGCTGCAGAACCTGGCCATTCCTACTTAAAGCCAAAATGTAAGCAGGAGGACTTCAAAGTTAAACTGAGTCACTGCTCTGACTTTAAATATGATAATGCTTTTATCATGTTCTGGAAATGCAGAATGCTTATCCGCTCTCTCTCTTTCAAGTGTAACATCAACATATTCCAAGTCAGAAATATTTACATACCTGAAATGGAACTCTACGGTATTAACACACACAGGAGCCATATGGAGTACTGCCAAGGCCTAGTGATAGATACCTTTTTAAAAAAGAAATTGATGTTTTGTGCTAATATAGTAAAGCTGATTTTTAACCCCTCTCTCTAAATGTAGGAGGTGACGTATTGAGCCAGTTTGAGCTTGATTTTAGTTACCTGAAAGCAGACTGGTAAGAGCATTGTGCTTAAGCTGTCAATGTTTTGAAGAAATACTCTCATTAATTTTTGCTGCACACATAACACATACTGTAGATGATAATTTCAGGATGTTCTAATACAATAATATTTATTTGTATTATTGTAGCACCAAGTGGCCCCAACTGAGATCAGAAAGTCATTGTGCTAGGCACAGTACACACGCAGAGTAAGAGATAGTCCCTGCCCTGAAGAGCAGACAAAGGGGAGGGAGAAAGGAAGTAGTAGTATCCCCATTTTACACATGAGAAAACTGACACACACACATGAAGATATTCACACTGGTCACACAGGAAACCAACAACTACAAAAATAGTTTGCTGGAAAGTCCTAGCCTTTCTTTATATAACTCAATGGCAATATCTTTATATGGGATACCTCTGTTTAGTTTAGCTATTTTTTGGTGTTTTTATGCAAAATCTTACTAGTTTTTGTAGAAATAAAAATTTGTGGTTGTCAGTATTTAAATATTTTTCATTGCATAATGAATCATAAAGTGGTCCTATTGGTTATTTTATGTCCCATAAATTGAACATCACTAAGAGAAGAATTGAAATTCATATCAAATGGACACTTGCTTCAATTAAACATTGTAAATCAAGAGTAATACATCATCATCAGGTACATTTAAAAACCAGTTTTAGACATTTTCTTGTAACTTACAACTTTCAGGTACAATATATTTATTTAACAATTACATTGAAACATTGGTTATGTCGTGTTTTGTGTGACTAGGGTGAAGTTCATCCCAGTGCAGAAGATCCTTGTCCCTGTTTAAGCCCTGTCATAGGTCTGTGCTGAAGGTGGGGTAGGAACGATTATGCTAGCTCTGAATAGACTGATCCCAGAAGAGCGAGGGGTAGGCTGGGGACAGGCCAGAGGAGAGGACACAATCCAAGACTAGGCATATCTACTAGACAAGAATCCCATGGAGGGAGTTATATAAAATGTATTGTGTTTTATTGGATTAAATGGGAAATATTAGTTCTAACACTTCAGTATTGTTTTTAGGTATGTACCAGTCAAAGACCTGCTAGCTATCTATAAGGAATATTATGGCCAAGAAGTAATAACCGAAGACACAATTATTGACTGCACTTACCTGCTGTTTCTCGAATTGTAAGTCACTGAGTTGTGAACTTCTTATTTCACAAAACATATGGGGAAAAATTATAATAACTTTCATAGTAAATCACTGAACCTGCATCTCTACGTTAGAGATGAGCCAAACTCAAACTTCTTTCCCACAAACTCTTGAGCTTTGGGGAAATTTGGAATGAAGGTTTGGATCTGTATCCAAGTTTCACATTTGTTACATTTTCTAAATAGATGAATACAATAGTTGGGCTGTATGTCTTAACAACATAAATAGGCCTGTGTTGTGAGGTAACAGCAATGTTTTGAAGCATGGCCATGTTGTGACACTTCAGCAGTAAAACTCTGATCTTCTTCAATGAAGAGCGCAATATAGATGCGTAGCTATAGCTAGCTCACTTGCCCACAGACATTTACACCAATGCAGACACTTCCAGAATACTACAGGTCTGAAGGATAGGTAGGGAAGTTGTCCCTCTTAGCTCAGAGAACCTGAACTGTGGTAATGACTACTTTAGAATATTTTGAGTCTCAGAGCTATGTTCATTAATTCAATTATTTACTAATTGGCTATGTCTACACTATCCAACAGGGTAATATATGGGGTATATGTAGCCACAATGAAAAGCAAGCTGCATCCACAATGCTGTGTATAGCTACATGTGTCAGTGAAAGGCTCTGGCAGTGGAGAAAGGCTTCAGTAGCTCCCCCACTGCCAGAGACTTTCATTGAGGCGGGTAAAGGCTCTGCCAGGAAAAGGCAGTGGGGAAAGAATGAGCCTGCTGCTGCTGAGCCTTTCCCCACTGATAGTCTTTTCCTGAAGCGGGGAAAGGCGTTAGCTGTGGGGAGGCAGTGGGACAGTACACTGCTAAAAATAGCAGTGTAGTTGGGGACTGGGGAGGCAATGCTTTGGCAAGTAGAGAGCCGTGTACCTACCCACAGCCTTCAGGTATATCTTTACTTTATTGGCCTAAGGAGTGCCTCACCGTCTACACTGCTATTTATACCTGTGCTGCAGGCAGTGTAGGTGTACCTATCGTTGTGCTGAGTTGCAGAGCAGTGTAGAAGGCACAAATATTAAGAAGCGCAATAAAGATCACAATCTCTGATGTTACAGATCTTATTATGATATAGTAACAAACAAGGAAATATCTCAACATTACCGTCCTTAAAGTCGGATAAATACTGGGTTATTATATAGGGGCCCACAAAGGCTTTGAAATGGGTTATTTTCATATTATTTGTTAATGAAGCTCATTTATCTGAAGATTATTTATTTTTGCAGGCATGGAGAAATGCTTGCTGTTGCCAAGGTAACTTATTTTTTTTCTTGTTAGCAACTAGGTACATATTAATGTTAAGATACACTGAACCATTCCACTAATTATACTGTGTTTTGTTCCGTAGCTTTTCCCATCATATGCTAGCAAATCTCCATTTTTGGTGGAGAGGTTCCAGGAGTATTTCCTTGGAGGATTGGATGACATGGCATTTTGGTCAAATAATATTTTTCAGCTAGCAAGCCACATGTTAGAAAATGGGACTAGGTGAGATGTTGTTTTATGTGTTAGGATGCACCTCTTATGAGACTACAGTAAAGTCAGATAAATTACCTTTGCTATATTCAAGTTATGAAGTCTGTTTAATTGTTCTCAAGGAAGCAGGCCCAGTCCCAGAATTGGAGCCTGAAACTGAAGACTTTGCTTACTTAGTCAGAATTCAGTGAGACTAAGGGCCCAATCCAACTCCCAGTGAAGTGAGAAGATTCTCATTGAGTTCAAAGAGTTAGAATGAACCTTAATTGTCTAAGAGTTGCAAGTTCAGGCTCGTATTTGGCTGGTATTATTTTCATAGAAAACTTTATCACTATAATACCACTTACACAAATATTTCACCTTTGCCCTGATAGGTTTACAATCCTTGCTGTGGAGAGCAGACCTCAGACAATTGTACTGTTTGTCTATATGAATAATATTACTGCACGTATATTGGAAAACGGTGTTGGAAACATCAAATCATATAATCTGTTGTGTTGCATGCTTGAAAAATGTCACTTTAATTAAAAACACTTTACCTACCCAAAACCACTTACCTTTACTAGGATTAGCAGGTTATTAGAGCCAAAGTAAGTTGTTACATAATCACACATGACATTCTTATGGATTCTAAATAATTCATCAACAACTTAAAAAGATACAAAAGGAATTTCTCAGGAATATAACAATGCCCTAATTTTGAATAAGCCGGGGCTACTGAGGGAGATGACCTCACTTCCCAGAGGAGGAATCTGTATGGATGAAAGTTCTATTTAGTTTAACTTCCATTAGAATAAATAAAAAACTGTGTGTTTTCAATATTTTTTCAGTGGCTGCTTCATACCTGAGAACCCTCTGTTTATAGAGTGCAATGGGGAGCACAAGAACAGCGACATGTAGGTATAATCCTGAAAGCTGCAAAGATTTACCTCTGAAAGAAGAAATGTCCATTTGTGTGGAAATCCAATTACATGGGTAACCTATCAAGGTCCCTCACTTCTCCTTTTTGGAAAAACTCTACTCCAAGGGAGAAATTTCTTCATGTATGAAGAGAGATACTTGTTTGATCTTTCCTTTGGGTGAAACTTAGGCCCTCCCCAACCCAAATAATCTTGTTGCCAGTGGATAGGGTATGGAGTAAACATTCTGCCCCTTGGGACTGTTGTTCCAGCACCTGGACTGGAGTAGGAGTGCAACATCTGCACACCCATGCATGAGGTCTGGTGGCTCATTGGCCATATGCCTGTCTCTCACACAGCTAACATCAAAAAGTCTTACTGTGCTGGTCTACGTGCATATGGAGTCCAGCTCTGTAGGACACAGGATGTGTAGTCACCTGCACACCCATTCCACAGCTAACTTCCTGCTTGTGTTGTGTATGGCCTGAGGCCTCTACACTACTGGTGAATTCTCATTGAACTGAAACTGCAATGAGTCAGAAAGTACATCAGAGACACAGGAGTTAGTCAAACTTTGATCATAAGAATTCAGATCATTCCACAAAAATCCACACTCTAAGGGGTATATTTTTATTCCAAGAATTCATAATTAATCCTGGGAATTACATTCAGGATACATCTAAAATCCATGATCACATATTCAGTTTAGATAACAAAAAGATTCAGAGTTTTCTCAGCCTGTATATCTGAAGCTTTCATATGTAATTCAGTTCAGTTTGCATCTAACTGGTACCGAGGCAATGGAGTGGTATGGGGCAGCACAGCATAGAGAAAGGGTCACAGAGAGATAACAAGTAGTGGGGAGAGAAAAAGAAAATTGATAGAGATAGGGAAGAGGATCAGCAAATAGAAGTAGCGAGAGAAAGAGAGAAAGCAAGATGGCAGAGGAGTAGGAGTTTCCTTTGAGGGCTGTGCTTCCCATTTGTGCATAAACCTCTTCACCCTCACTAGTAAACAAACAACTAATGCCCCATGCACAAACTGAAAAAGACTAGGGATTTTTGCTTGACAGGTAGATATGGTTATAAATCTCACATTTTGGGGAAGCCTGGAGGTCTGAGAGCTGCCCTACCTTTATCTTATCACTTTGTCATTTTGGATTTCAAGTGAGAAGAGATTCGCTTTTTATTTTATTTTTTTTCCCCTTGGTTGCTTCCAGTCTTAGTCAAGGGAGACAATTAAATGTTCTGTAATCCTAATTTACATTCCTTGCAACTCCACTGACTTCAATAGAGTACAAATTGGAGTAGGATTTGGTCTAATATGTGTATGGCAATGGATTTACTAGTTTGAGGAAAGGCAAGTAGAGTATTTTAGAAATATACTCTAGTAATAACATTAACAAATCGTTTATTTGCTTGTCTATGTATTACTGCTATAGAGATCATTAATAACTCATAAAAGAATTTGTATGCTTATGGTTTTAAAATAAAAGAATTTCAATACTCAGGTTCAAGTGACTAGTGTACAATATCACAATTCAAATCCATCTGTAGACAACATAGTTTGAATGTTGTTCTTACACATTTATAGTGTACCAGCAAAAATAATACTGGTGATGAGGGGAAAATACCTAATGATACTGATGAAATAGGTAATACTAGATTCTCAGCTGCTGTTAACTGGCATAGTTCCACTAACTTCAATGAAGTTAAACTGATGTAACTCAGTAGTGAACCTGGTTCTAAGATCTTTTTATTATAAATTTGGATAGATGGCCATCTGAATGGCATATGGCATGATCTTCAGCTTTTCTCATTATATAATCATGGCATAAAATCTTCAGTCCAGTCATTAAATTGCATTTAATGGGTTTATCTTGTTAACGGTCCCCTCAGCAACATTTCTAATTATTACTGCCTCTTTATCTCAACAGAATTAAAGAGTCCAAAAAGGAACAGCACAAGAGCATGACTTCTTCACTCACAAAAACAATTGAAAAGAATATAAATTATACGGAGAAAGGAGTTTATTTCAATATGCAGTCCTGGGCAACCGTAAGTCTTTTTAGATCAATAGTGCAAGGGGAGATAGATGGGCCATGCAAAATTTGGATCTGCCATAAATTGTTTTAGTTCCTAAGTCTGGTACATTGCAGGATGGAAGAGAGTCTCCAGATGGGATGGTAGCATTTTACACATGAAGAGCCGTTATATTGTTGTATATAATGATATTACAGTATGTCTTTAATATTCCTGCTTCATAGCAGCAGCTGGTCACCCTCACAGGTCAAGAAAGAATCCTACTCTTAGTGCAGTAGTGCATTCTTGGCCAGTTGTGCTTTGGATTTGTTAGGGTTCTGCCTCTTTCTGAAGCAGCACTAAGGACCTGATCCAAAGTCCACTGAGTCATACTCCTGGGGGAATGTTGTGTCACTGCATGTGCATAGAATTCATGTCCCCTGCAGATTTCTTTGCTTCCCTGCAGAAAAATGACTTCTGACAGGGAAGTAAAGGGAAGCTGCAAGAGCAGTCACACGCCCCTCTCCAGCAGCGCAGGCAGGTTGGTTCGGGTGCCTGGAGCAGCCGGTTGTAACGTAAATCACTGCCAGGGGGGAGGCGCTTGGCAGTCGTGCGCGTGAGAGAGACACACTCTATCCCTCTCACTCGCTATTGCAGCATGCTCAATGTGGAGGGGCATGGCTTCAGGGTGTTTCTGAGGAAGTCAGTGTGGGGCAGGCTCTGTCCTCTCAGGCAGAGCAGAATGTTGCAGCTTGCTTGCTTAGTGAATTGTTCCCATCCCCCCAGGAATATAAAACAGGTGTAAAAGTCTTAAGGCTCCTTTACTTTGCCACAGTGGTGTAAAGGACAGTATGGCCTTATAAATGCTTATCGTGCTTTAGTGATTAAAACTGGTCTAAATATATTTGGACTGAAAAAATTTCCTATCAAAATGTGCTCCATGAACTGTTTGCTACTGACCTTTCTGGAGATGGTCAGTAGCCAATATAAATTGTGAGTTTGATTCCCCAGCCCTCACTTGCTCTTCAGTTGCCTATAATGTAACCCCAAGCATATGGCTGCATATATTTGTTGACCACTAACTAGAAATAAAGGGTCAAACCTAGCTACATTACTATTAGGCAAGGGGTTTGGGGGATTTCCTCCAATGCTCCCCGCTCCCATTCTTCATCCATTATATTGTAGTTTAAATAAATTACCAAAATAATAGAAACCAGTGTGATTATATTGTGTTATTTTGATAAATAAAATATGCAGAATTTTGCAGAATTTTAAAATAGTGTGTGCAGAATTTTTAATTTTTTGGCACAGAATTCCCCCAGGAGTAACTGAGATCAATGTAAAGACTCCCACTGACCTGCATGGGGTTTGAATCAGGTCCTTATTTGTTCAGAGTTCCTATTGGTAAGGAAAATACACTGTGGGTGTTTGTTTATGTTATATTATTATTCCCATATTTCTTGAATTATTACTTTCTTTCAGAAATCCCTCCACTTTATTAATAGTGCTTTTGCAAAGAATGTCAGGAAAGCATTTGCAGTCATGCATCAGCAATCCTCTAACCACGTCTTCAAGCCCACAGCCTCATACTTTCTGGAATCACCCTATGCCAGGCTTGGATGGTTGGTGCAGATTTCTCTCCTTTTTCCTTTCCCTCTCTCCTCATTTGTGAATATTTTAAGCAGCAGTTAAAGTATTAAATCTTTATTCCTTGAAGAGATTTTAAAGATACACTTATGGGCCATGTTAACCAGGATGCAAATGCTGTCAGCTGCAGAACAACTTACTTTAGCTTGGCATTGCTGTGAGGTATTGAGATATGGAGCCTTTTTGACTTTGGGGCACTGGTTTACTGCTGACCACATCCATACTGGTTGAAAGTCATGATCAAAGTTTGATCCAAAGCAAAACCCTGGTTCCAGATAACCCCAGTGCTTGGAAATGTTCAGATCTAGATCCAAACTTTGTGGCTAGCCCCGTCTAATGAACAAGACCAAAACTAAATCTGATTATGTACAAACTTTGGGAAAGCTTGGATCCAGATTTGTGTCTGGATCTGAACAACATGACTTGGGACCATCATTACCATCTGATGACCATTTAATAGCCTATGTGACATGAATGGGTTGACCCAGTTGATACTAATTGGTATTCTTGGTAGCATTTTTAGTAGAGAAATGAAGGACTGACTCAGCATGGAGAATGATACCTACCCTCTCTCCTCTCCTCCATCCTGATTATGGCAGACATGCAATGGAGAAGAGAGATGGAGGAAGTTTGCACTGGTGCTAGTCTTGCTGTATCTGCTCTGGGACAAAAACTGGAGACTTTAGACTCCAGGGCTGTTAATCTGGCACCCTTCACCAGTATTTAATACAAAAAAATTACTATATAAATGCCAGTTTGTTCGTTCTCTGTCAACCTCTGTGAGTTCCATCAAGTAACTGAGCCTCACCAAACCAAGTCAAATGAACAGATCAGAAATTGAGGCAGAAATCATGGCAGATGTGAGCAACACTCTGTCATGGTTCTTTGTTTGATGCTGCTTGGTGGCTGCTAAGTGGTACAGTTCAGGAAATAAGAACACTATCTGATGGCAATCCAGGCAGATCACAGCAGTGTTAATGGAAACTGCACCTCAGAGGCTCTAATCTGCTTAGTTCAACAGAATAGGTCTGAGAGTCAGTAAGTTTAAATCACTTGGAAAATGGCTTTACAGACTCTTAGGATTAAGAAATGGTGAAAGTGACCAGTTAGCTTTGAAATGTGAATGTTTACATTTGCTGAACCAATGTGGTAATTGATGCTATGCTTTTGTTTTCTCCTTTGGTATACAGGGCAATGGCCTCAGGTGACTTAAACCAAGATGGTTATGAGGATCTAGTGGTTGGAGCACCAGGATACAGCAGATTGGGCCGTGTTCAGATAGGACAGGTGTACATAATCTACAGTAATCGGTCAGGTTTGCCTCCAGTAAACATGGATCTAGACAAGGAAGCGGATCAAGTGCTGGAGGGTTGTCAGGTGGGGAATCAAATCAGATACTTGTCATTTAAAACAATTTGCCTTTATTTTTTATTAAAAGGTCAGTGCTCTTTATCCTTCCCTTGACTGATCAGTGGTGCTGTTAATTTTTTTCTCACAAAGAGTTGTCATGGTTTCTGAAATGTCTCTCCTGTAAACCAGGATGTTATGTGCATTTAAAGAAAAACAATCCCTGTTATTAGGAAAGATCCTTGTGGCTGAATTAAAGATGATCTGTTTACTCTTCTCTCCACCAGGCAAAGTAACACTAAAACAAACTGGGACCCTTAACTGACACTGAGGTGGAGTCCATCCATGCCAAGGAATCTATACATGGCTACCAGGCCACTGCATAGTTGGGCCGAAAACTGCCCTTGGCTTCTTTTTGCATATGCGGGGCTATTTATCTTAGTTTTTCTATAGTGCCTCTGATTGTAGTAGCTATAATACTGCTTAGGTATAATAGCTATATTACTGCTACTGCTTAGTAGCTATAATACTGCTTAGGCCATTGGAGGAGCTGGGAACCCCACAACTTACGAATTTGAGTCTTGAGAGCTCAGTACCTATTTCCACTGGGCTTGGGGAGGATGAGGCACACATTGTTTAAGTGCTATACATGTTTAGGAATCTTCCACCTACCTATTGGAGGTGTTCTTTGTGGATTCACATCTCCTCAGGATACAAAGAACAGGAAGTCACATAAATTATTCTGTTTCTATTAGCAAAAACAACGAGGAGTCCTTGTGGCACCTTAGAGACTAACAAATTTATTTGGGCATAAGCTTTCGTGGGCTAGAACCCACTTCATCAGATGCATGGAGTGGAAGTCAATAACAGACTGAAAAGTGGCAATTTTCAACAAAAAACTTCAAAAACAACGTGAAACTGCAGAACTGGAATTAATTTGCAAACTGGACACCATCAAATTAGGCCTGAATAAAGACTGGGAGTGGATGAGTCCTTACAAAACCTAATTTTACCAGACTAATTTCCCTCTACTGTTACTCACACCTTCTTGTCAACTGTTTGAAATGGGCCACCCTCATTACCACTACAAAAGTGATTTTTCCTCCCTTGGTATTCTACTGTTAATTGAATTGTCTCGTTAGACTGACCCCACACCTGGTAAGGCAACTCCCATCTTTTCATGTACTATATATAAATATACCTGCTACTGTATTTTCCACTCCATGCATCTGATGAAGTGGGTTCTAGCCCACGAAAGCTTATGCCCAAATAAATTTGTTAGTCTCTAAGGTGCCACAAGGACTCCTCGTTGTTTTTGCTGATACAAACTAACATGGCTACCACTCTGAAATCAGTTTCTATTAGGCAGTTTACTAACAATGCAAATGGTTTCTGTGAAATGCTATGCTGTGATGTGACAGAGGGTGGGGAGTGACTTTGGCTTGAGATTGAACAGTAGGACTAGATGATGATATATTGAGTAATATAAAGATCATGCTTTGTTGTAAGCATCTTACTAAGAAACAGAAAGACACCCCCCCCCTTTAAGTACAATAGTGTCTAAAGCAAATATGTTTGAGTCGTGAGGTGTCGTCTGCTTTTTTAACATAAATGTTATTGGTTCACAGACACAATGATAGTAACAGTGGGTAGTCTAAGCATCACCTAAATGATAAACAAAGCCTGCGAAGAGGCTGTAGCACAACAGTGTCATAATGAGATTAACGAGCTGAGACCAAACATGTTATAGTTTTTTTTAAACTGTCCCTCTCTGTCAAAACAAAACAAACCACTCCCACATGTACTCACTTCAGATATTGGTACTGTACATCTGTACAGGACAATCTGTTTATTCAGCTGCTCTTTTAAGAGTAAATAATACTGACAATCTAAGAACTGTGAGATGGTTTTTTGTCAGTTCTGGATTTCCAGCTGTTTCATAGGATGTTTGTTCTACAAAAAATTCTCGAGGAGGCAGACACCAAGATTTAGTTTTATTGTTTTTAAATGTTACTTAGCTGCATGAGTGTGACATGTGTCTTCTCAGCCTTCAGGCAGGTTCGGTTCTGCCATAGCAGTACTGGACTTCAATGAGGACGGAGTACCAGACATAGCGGTGGGAGCACCTTCTGTAGGATCACAGAATCTCACTTATACAGTAAGAGCCCTTTATTTAAAACAACATCTGGTTTGTTTGTTTGTTTATGTTCCAAATAACAGCATTAAAGAGAGAACCTCTCACATTACTCAGGGTGAATAAGCTGGCAGCTTGCTGGTGGTTCCCAAACTGGATCTTGTTTTGTAAACGCGGAGGCCTTGTCTATGGGGAGAGATCGATCTAAGTTACACAACTTCAGCTACATGAATAACGTAGCTGAAGTCGACGTACTTAGCTCTACTTACTGTGGGGACCACACTATGCTATGTCGATGGGAGACAGAAAAATGTGGGCCATATGAATTCTGCGCCCCCACATAGCCGCAGAATCCCCCCAGGAGAAATATTCATATGGGGTTCAGCCCCTTTTCCTTATCTGAACTTCCACGCCCTACTTATGGTGGAGTTCCCAGTTTCTATAGGTTAATTAACTGGTTACTTCATATTCATGAGCATTTATGTCAATTGGGTGCCATAATATTACTGCTGTCAAACCTTGTAAGTTTCAGTTAAACATATTATACATGTTGCTTAAACATACCTTCTTAAAATATCAGTAACTTACGTGGTTTCTCACTTCACACATGTCAACTGACTTACTTTTATTTACTGCTATGTTTCATCTTGTGACTTAAAGTCACTTGCCTGTCAGTTATTTATGTCAAGCAAAACCATAGGCCTTGATTTGTTATGCTAAGCTCTTTTACATTACAGGCCCTAAGCCTGTTGATTCTCTACTTGTGTTACAGCCTCAGTCAATACTTATACTTGACCTATGTAGCCAGCTATATGTATAGGTAATCTTCACCCACCATTCATAGAGCTGACATACTGCATCAGATCTTTCCTATATTCTTCCAGTCAGTGTCATCTTGCAGTGGGATAATGGCTGCTATGTTTACATGTACCTTGGTTGCCAGTATTGCTTTATCAAATTGCCTAATACAAACTACAGCCCAAATTTTCAAACTTGACTGCCTCAACTTAGGGATGAAGAGCTATATTTCGGTGCCTAAATAAGTGGTCTGATTTTTCAGAAATGCCCTGAGCAGCCCCCATATAAGTCAATGGGTGTTCGAGCTGCTCAGCACTTCTGGAAAATCAGGTGGTGCTTATTAGCTGCCTAAATATGGATTTAAGTGCCTATATTAGCCTCCAAGTTTGGAAAATTTGATACTACACATCTCTTGTTGCCTACAGTCTGTACCATTGCCTTAAGTTACTGAGAACTACACTGCAAGCTGCATGCATGTTTTATTTATATTAATGATATTGCCTATTGTCCTTATCAAGTAACATAATGAAAACTCCCTTATCTGTTGAAACAAGCATGTTGATTCTCCTTTCTCCCCCCCCCCCAAACTCTAGATGGATGATTTGGTCATCACATTTAATTCTTAGGTTTGGGGTGGAAGACACAATATACTGTGTGGGCTCTGATGGTAAGAAAAATGCAGCCTAACTAATGGTCTTCACAGAATTAGTAGTTTCTCTAACTTGTATTATTAAGTCCATATTTGGCATTGGTGTATACATTCTCAAAGGTTTCCTCCCCCCACTGTTTAGGGTGCTGTGTATGTATATCTGGGCACTACAGGAAGAGGCTTGTCACCTTGGCCAAACATTACCATAATTTGCCAGGTACAGTATGAAGGATAATCCAAAACTGCAGAATTGGGGACTGAAGGAAGGGGGCAGATCACTATACCATTTTATACAGTATTGTCCTATCCTTTCAGGCTATCTGGGGGATGCATATGAGACAGGCAAACTAATTTTTACAGTTACACAGGGACCACAAGGTTATCAGTGGCAGTAGAAAGGAAACATGACACAGTTCATATGACATGGAAAGTCAGGTGCAATAACTGTGTTTAGAGCCTTTTTCATAAGGCTTCTGTTAAGATAAGCTGTCTACATTCTGCAGACCTTCAATTGTCCAGGACCAGAGGTTCAATTTTACTACCACGTGCTTCAGGACAGTATCCCTGAAGTCAAATGGCAGGTGGAAGCAGAGGGGGGAAACAGTTTGTCCACACTGCTATTCTCAAGCCTCCATTACTGGGGATACTGTAGAGATGTTGGCCCCGATCCTCAAAGGTATTTAAACACCTAACTTCTATTGAAATCAGTGGGAGTTAGGTGCCTAAATACCTTTAAGGATCTGGGGCATTGCTATTCCCTTACTACTCACCGTGAGAAAGGATGTCAAAATCAACCCCTGTAATTGCAAGGGATATATATTTGTGCATTTGTCAGAGGCCACACATTAAAAACAAATGCCTCATTGTACTTCTGCCTTGTCTCTTTGTCGAATGGTCATGTCTCTTTGAGTGCATGTACTCCAGGAAATGGACTCCCTATTCTCCAATTATTTTTTAAAAAAACCCAAACAACTTGGTTACAAGATGGGAAGGTGATTGATCAGGTATATTCAAAATTAACTCTTTAGAAGAGATCTAAAGTAACATAACAAAGCAAGTAGACAATTACAATTCTGCTTTCCACTTTAAAGTTTTGATTGAGATATTGTCTCTTGCAGCACACATTCTGTAACCTTGGCTGGTCACTGCTGGCTGCTGATATTGATGGGGATGGAAAGTCTGATCTGGTTGCCGGTTCTCCTTATGCACCTGGCGGTGGGAAGCAGAGAGGATTTGTAGTTGCATTTTATTCTCACTTCAACAGGAGTGACAAAGGTAATATTTACTGAGTAAAATTGACATTTCCATATTTTACGTGGCTATACTTGTGGTTTTAATTTGACACTTTTGTTTTAATTTGAATCCTTTGTTACGTGAAACCTGAGCAACCTATTAATTGTCACAGATTCTTGAAAGGTTTATGTGCACTCTGGAAGTAAAGAAATAAATACGTAAAAATAGGTTTCTGGTATTTATATTGCCTTACCTGGATTTCTACTGTCCCAGCTGAAGAAAATTTAAAATGAATTTATTCCTGTATTTCTGAGTATTTGATGATTGATTATCAAAAGTCAGCCTAGTAATGCAATGATATTGTAAGCGCCTTGTATGATAAGTAGGTAATTTTGCACCTCAGCCTAACTGTATAAGTATTAATTCCAAGGTTAGTGCACATAATTCCCAACTCAAGGCAAACAGAAGTGTACATCATAAGAATGGGGGTAGGAGAAAACAGTCTCCTAAGAATTTAGGCCCTGGACCTGCAAACACTTGAGCATGTGTATAACTTTGCTTAGATGAGTAGTAGTGCTATTAAAGTCAACAGCAAGAGCTGTTTAATGCTTGAAGAAAACTACAGAACTTGGCTGTGAAACAGAAATGAATGGCCGACAGTGTGGAAGGAATGCTTATCAACCAGTGCTGCCAGGTAGTGATGGTAGCCCCTTGCATCAGGAGGGGTCTAACTGGATTTTCTCTCAAATTGGCAAGGGTCTGCGAGTACCACAAGATCATTCGTGCTAAGAGCTCCTGTATGTGGCAAAAGGGGAATGCTGCAAGTGAGCACTGTAACTAAAGGGTATGGGTCAAACTGGATTATTGTGGGATGGGAAGAGACGTGAGCTAGAAAAAGAGGTTGAAGCCTAGAGCTGGAGAAAGCCAGTGTGAATATGTAGGGGTGCAAAACTTCATCAGCTGAGGTTTGGTTTTTGCATAATTAAATTTAGATCAGAGTCCCATTGTTTTCAAAACCGGTGTTTGTAGATGGGGAAGGCTTTCAGCTAAATTGTACTAAATTTGACCCATATCTATTTCATATAAGGATGGAAGCAACTGGGCAATGATTTTGAATTCACAAAACTTTGTCAGCTGAAGTCTGCGAAAAACCAAAACCCAGCAGTGACTTGAATTAAGATCTCATTAATTTGAACTTTGGATTCAGATAAATGGCTTCAGTTTTATCTCCGTTCTAGTGAAGACATTTCAGTTCCATTCAAACTGGTTCGATATCTCCTGTATACCTGCCTTTAGAAGTTGAAAGCATCCTATAGGTCGTGTTGGGGTGACTTAGAGCCAAGATTTCACCACAAACACAGCTGCTGAGTACTGCTTTGCCACCAAACACAGTGTATGATGAAATTAGTAATAACTGGTACCATACCCTGGGAAGAGTAACCCGATCAAAACAAAAGTGTCTATTGCTAGACTGAAATGTGGTATGTTCCAGAAACTGATCAATGTTCTATCCTTGGTGAACATCCCGACTTAACCTTTGTCTGGTTTGATCCTATCTGTCAGAGCTGCTGTCAGTAGAGGATGCCAACTGGATGGTGAAGGGGGAAAAGAACTATGCCTGGTTTGGATATTCACTTGTTAGTCACCAGTTGAAGAACAAAACCTTACTGCTGATTGGAAGCCCTACCTGGAAGAGCTGTATTGGGTGGGTTTCTCTTTTATCTGGGAGTTGTACATGATCATAACACAGTTCCTTTCACAACCTGTGTTTTTTTTTCTATAGTCTTTAAGATCTACAGTAGAATAAAATTGTTTCAGTAAGTTTACTTGTGGAACTCCACTCTTTGGGGACAATAATAGTCATGTTTAGAGGAAACTTCAGATTAGTAAATTCAAATTTTTTAACTCCTTTTTCAAAGCAGTTGGTCTTTATTATGACTCTTCATCAAAAACAAATTCTTCGGGGTCTTTTTATAATTTTTAAAAATGCCAGCATAGAGGCAGTCCTAAACAATCCTACAATGGTAATTAACTATACTGAGTAATACCTACAAGCCTCATGACCGGGGCCCCATTGTGCTAAGTGATGTACAAATATAAAGGTGGACAAGGTCTCTTTTCTGAAAGATCTTAAAATAGAACCTCAGAGTTACGAACACCAGAGTTATGAACGGACTAATCAACCACACATCTCATTTGGAACTGGAAGTCATAATCAGGCAGCAGCAGAGACAGCAAATACAGTGCAGTGCTGTGTTAAACATAAACTACTAAAAAAAAGGGAAAGCAGCATTTTTCTTCTGCATAGTAAAGTTTCAAAGCTGAATTAAGTCAATGTTCAGTTGTAAACTTTTGAAAGAACCACCATAATGTTTTGTTCAGAGTTGACAACTGTGACAGGTTGGATCACAAACTCCCTTGGGGCTGCCAACTGATATGCCAAGACTACTTCTGCCCCTGCTTTCCCTGCCAGCTTGGGACTCCAGCACCCTGTCTTGTTGAGCCAGACACACCAGTCTGCTCCAACACAGACCCAGGGTCTGAACCACATGCCCCAAAGCTGCAGACTTAACTGAAAGCAGGTTAAGAAGTGTTCCTGTCTTTAACACTCAGATGCCCAATGCCCAATGGGGCCCAAACAAATCTGTTTTACCCTGTATAAAGCTTATACAGGGTAAACTCATAAATTGTTCGCCCTCTATAACACTGATAGAGAGAGATGCACAGCTGTTTGCCCTCCTCCCCCGGTATTAATACATACTCTGGGTTAATTAATAAGTAAAAAGTGATTTTATTAAATACAGAAAGTAGGATTTAAGTGGTTCCAAGTAATAGCAGACAGAACGAAGTGAATTACCAAGCAAAATAAAATAAAACAAAACACGCAAGTCTAAGCCTAGTACAGTAATAAAACTGAATACAGATAAAATCTCATCCTCAGAGATGTTTCAATAAGTTTCTTTCACAAACTGGACGCCTTCCTAGTCTGGGCACAATCCTTTCCCTTGGTACAGCCCTTGTTCCAGCTCAGGTGGTAGCTAGGGGATTTCTCATGATGGCCGCCCCCTTTGTTCTGTTCCACCCACTTATATATCTTTTGCATAAGGCGGGAATCCTTTGTCCCTCTCTGGGTTCCCACCCCTCCTTCTCACTGAAAAAGCACCAGGTTAAAGATGGATTCCAGTTCAGGTGACATGATCACATGTCACTGTAAGACTTCATTACCTACTTGCCAGCACACATGTATACAGGAAGACTTACAAGTAAAACAGAGACATCTACAGTCAATTGTCCTGGTTAATGGGACCCATCAAGATTCCAAACCACCATTAATGGCCCACACTTTGCATAACTACAATAGGACCTCAGAGTTATATTTCATATGTCTAGTTTCAGATACAAGAGTGATACATTCATACAAATAGGATGACCACACTCAGTAGATTATAAGCTTTGTAATGATACCTTACAAGAGACCTTTTGCATAAAGCATATTTTAGTTACATTATATTCACACTCAGCAGCATATTTTCATAAAATCATATAGAGTGCAACGTCACAAGAACAACCTCCATTCCTGAGGTCATAACTTTGAGGTTCTACTGTAATTCTAATTAGAAACAAGAATGAGAATAATTACCAGAACAGCATTTTGCACACAATGAAAGAAAACAATATTCTGCATACAAGCAATGCTGTATGTATCTACAAAATACATTTCAAGTTATTACTTTGACTGAAAATAATATTGTGTGTTCTAGTCTAGGTTGCTACAGCTCATTGGATACCAAACAGAGTGTTGGAAAGGTGTATGGATATAACCCACCAAGCACACTAAGCTGGTTTTCCATAACTGGAGACATGGTAGGACCTTTTCTTTAGTATGCTGGGAATTTACAGGTATGAACTATGTGAAGCAAAATGGTATTCTGTGCAACTGATGTGTTTAACAATCAACAGGACAGGGGCAAACTGGGTTCGTCGTTGGCCAGTGGCTTCATGTCTGTGGCTGGAATTCCAAGAGAAGTGTTGGTGGTGGGTGCACCTACCTCTGGTACGTTGTTCTGGAAACTGAAACCCTTTAGCTAGGCATTATCTATGTCTCAAGTGATTGGTAAACTAAGCTAATTACAGCAAGCTAGAAAATGGACTTAATAGTCACATTGAATTTATATGAGTGCTATATATGATGCTCTCCCTATGGGTATCCTAAAGTGCATGGTATACTTTGCACAGCCCCATCTGCTAGAGCCTCAGATTAGTTTAGGGCAAGATTTTTGTATGGAACAGACTTTTGTTAAGTGCGTTCTCAACACATTATTTATGTAACTGATTCATTATTAGGCCATAAATTCCTTGGCACCAATGACAGCATAATTAAATGGTCAAGAGTCACTATATAACTTAGGAGCACACACTTGATACGTGTTCTTGAACACTGATTTTTTTCAATGTAGAACTAACATTATAACTGGAGTAGAAATAATGAAGTATTTGATAGTTTTTTGTACAGTCAGTATGTTTTCATTTTGTTCATATATTTGATAATGCCAGTATTACCTACTGTTAGTACACTACATGTACTAAGCCTATTCCTGTGAGTGTACACATCTGAGGGTCTAATTCTGTCACCCTGGCTTCTTTCAGACAGCACATCTAGGATTGCATTTATACCCTCAGTACTGCACCAAGCTGGAACTGTTCTGATGTATGACTTGACAGATGGTGCCAAACCTTCTTTGCTCAGCACTTTCAGTGGGGACAGGAGGTTCTCTCGCTTTGGAGGAGATGTACACTTAAATGACCTGGACAATGATGGACTAGGTAAAACAAAGGGGATTTAGATGGTGTGGGTGAAGAGATTTTTACTTTGAGCAAGAGTAGACTTGCCTCATACATTGTCTCATAAACTCAAAACACATCCCACTTTATAGATGGATTTAAACATCCCAAGATGCTTTACAGCAGAAAATCAAACAATTCAGTCATAAGTCAAGAAAACTTCTTAACTTTATCTTTACACTATGGACAGTTAGTCATTAATGTTCATAGGAATTACTGTATACAGACCAGTGTAAATGCCAGCTCTTGTCTTTTGGTCTAGTACTATTTCATCTTGACATCATGTATCCTCTTTCTGATTATTTACAGATGAAATTATTGTGACATCTCCTCTGAGAACTGACGACATCACGTCTGTACTGTTTGGAGGGGAGGCTGGACGTGTGTACATCTACAATGGAAACCAGACCACCTCCGGTCATGTGACAGACAACTGCAAATCATGGACTTCTCCTTGTCCTGAGGACTGGGTAAGAAAACTTACCAGTAAAACCAGGAGACAACATAATGACAACTAATTAATTACATCCACTGAAAAGAAAATAATAGACTGGTATCCGGAGTCAAGTTTCAGTAAAAACTCCATCTTGTTGCCTTCATCACACAGCAACTTGCTCAGGTTCTTAAATCTAGGTAATTTGGCCCCTTTTTTGGGTTCATGAGCAACCTTGCACAAAGTTCTGCAATGTGGGAGTAAGGCAGTTTTAATGCATGAGGCCTTTAGTCTGCAAGTGAAATACACTCTAAGAAGGTGGTTCTACTAACAGCTTCTCCCCTTCTTTCTTTTGTTTCAGGCACAATATGTACTAATTTCTCCTGAAGTGAGTAACTGGAAAATCAATGGCTGAGAGCAAAAAAAAACAACAACAAAAAAACAATTTAAAACATTCTTTAACATTCTCAGGGCATAATGAGCAATCTCATTTTACAGGAAAGATCAAGGTTTGGGAGCTCCATCATCACTGTGAAATCTCAAGGAAAGGTGAGAGAAACGAACATCACTCTTGTCTGCCAGCTTATTTCTTGCCAACACTTGTCTGTGTTATTTGCATATATTACTTAGAATGGCACCATTCCTCTGCAGATCCCAAAGTGCTTTACAGAAGCTAATCAAGCTTCCCCATTAAGTCACCCTCTGGGCCAATATTAACTCCCTTTTTAGAGTGGGTAAAATGAGGCAAAGAGGCCATAGCTGTCTGAATTTCGGCACCTGAAAAGGAATCCACTTAAAAAAACCCCAAACTTGCTCTTAGCAACTTGCCCAAGTCAGCTTGGAAAACGTGTCTGCAAGTCGGCTGCAGACTTGACTCAATCCTGTGTTTTAACCACTAGACTACACTCCAACAGCCCGTTATAAGCAATGTTGATGCTCATGACATACTGTAAAATTGGCTACTGGGCAAATGACTATGGTCAGTATATATGTAGTCTTCTATTTTAGTGCTTGTTTCCAGTAGCACTACCCAAAGGCAAGGCCCAGTCCTTGCCCTGATAATCTTGGAGGGCTTCATATGCCCCACTCCTCTCTGGATGAAGATATGAGCCTTTGGAGGGAGACAAAGTCTCTGCCTGCATCCAGAGGTGCTGGAACAATTTGTATAGTGGGGGTGGCTGAGAGCCACTGAACCAAACTGTAAACCCTGAATATGATGGAAACCACTTCAAGCCAGGGGGTGCTGCAGCACCCCTGTACCCCCATGCCTGCAGCTGTGTGACACAAATGTTTGTTTTTTCATTTGCCGTTACTCTGTACTTTGCGGTTGGTCCAGTGGCTGCTCCTATAAATGGACTCCAGAACTTTGGGGTCCTGCCCATTTTCCTCATTGTCAGTAATCATTTGAGGAGATGATTGCTCATCTCTGCAGTGAGGTTGGTTGACCTCACCCACCAAACAGCCTTTAGGAAAAAGCAGCTGGAATCTTAACTGCTTCCAGCCTAAGAGAAAGGGCCATTTTTCATATGACAAACACCTTATGAAACAAGCACCATTCCTGGCTTTCATTAGAGAAGGCTGTTCTACAAGCAAATGTTTCCCTTTTCTTTTTCAGGCCTTGTCTACACTAGAAAGGGTTTGCTGCCATAGGCATACTGGCTAACCCTTGTAGCAGAGATGCAGCCTATAGCAAGAGTGCTTTTGCCAGTATAGCTTATATTAGTTCCCTGAATAAATATGCTATACCAGCAAAAGGACTTTGTTGGTACAACTATGTCTGTGCTAGGGCTTTTGCAGGGCATAGCTATATTGGTTGTGGGGAGGGGTCCCCTCCCCCTGCTGCTCCTGACATAGCTATGCTGGCAAAGTGTCTCCTCAGTGATGCAGTTGAATTTTGTTAACCTCTGTTTTGTATCTTTGCAGAGAGAAGTTGTAGTAGCTGCTGAGAGAAGTTCGGTGAATGCTAGACTTAGTGGAAGGCTTTTTATGTATACCCTTTAAATGTTTAAATGTTCTTTTGTTGAGTCTGGGTACATGCCTGTTTTCAGTGGTGGATCCCCCGGGATCTATGGTGTTCTCCTTCACGCCTCCCCATGCCATGCTAACAAACTAGATGCTCAAACAGGATGTAGCTAAAAAGAGGACAGAAGCAGCAGAGAGGGAATTGGGGTTGATTGGAAAAATAAATAGACGGGGAATACTAACTGTCATGGTCCATCCATACAGCTTTAGAGTTGAAAACCAATTAAAAACCTCTATCCATGTAAGTCAGAAGGCTAGATAACCCAGCCACAGACAAAGTAGCATGAAGGGAGCCAAAACAACATTAACCTAGCATCAATTCAACTTATGAGGGAGGCTGGTTCCAGCAGACATATTTGGCTGTGTAAGGAAAAGTGCAGCACTCCTAGTTGATACAATCACTTAAATATGTGCAATACGATGGGGCCTAATTTAGTTAAAACTAATCAGGAAAGAGATCTTGGAGTCATCGTGGATAGTTCTCTGAAGACGTCCACGCAGTGTGCAGCGGCAGTCAAAAAAGCAAACAGGATGTTAGGAATCATTAAAAAAGGGATAGAGAATAAGATGGAAAATAGCTTATTGCCCTTATATAAATCCATTGTATGCCCACATCTTGAATACTGCATACAGATGCGGTCTCCTCATCTCAAAAAAGATATACTGGCATTAGAAAAGGTTCAGAGAAGGGCAACTAAAATGATTAAGGGTTTGGAACAGGTCCCATATGAGGAGAGATTAAAGAGACTAGGACTTTTCAACTTCGAAGAGGAGACTAGAGGGGGATATGATAGAGGTATATAAAATCATGAGTGGTGTGGAGAAAGTGAATAAAGAAAAGTTATTTTCTTGTTCCCATAATATAAGAACTAGGGGGCCACTAAATGAAATTAATAGGCAGCAGTTTTAAAACAAATAAAAGGACGTTCTTCTTCACACAGTGCACAGTCAATCTGTGGAACTCCTTGCTTGAGGAGGTTGTGAAGGCTAGGACTATAACAGGGTTTAAAAGAGAACTAGATAAATTCATGGAGGTTAAGTCCATTAATGGCTATTAGCCAGGATGGGTTAGGAATGGTATCTCTAGTCTCTGTTTGTCAGGAGAGAGATCACTTGATCATTACCTGTTAGGTTCACTCCCTCTGGGGCACCTGGCATTGGTCATTGTCAGCAGACAGGATACTGGGCTGGATGGACCTTTGGTCTGACCCAGTATGGCCATTCTTATGTTCTTATGTGTACAAACACCTTTAACTCTGCCGTTGTATGCCTGCCCAAACTCCTGTACACCAGCACTCCCCGTATACCCTCTACCTTACATTATGGACATTTCTAATACAGCCAACAAGCTCTCCAATCAGCACCCACTGCTCTCCAGCTCACCCACTTATCATCCAGACACACTAGAAGCTTGGGTCAGATGTGGTGGTCCAGGCACGCTGCAGACAGAGCAGGTACAAAGGGGGTGCATAGGTAACTAAGCTCATCTTTGCACCACATTTTGCTCCTTGCCTTCCAGCAGCCTTATACTGGCTGCTTAGTGCCCCAAAGGACTAAACCACATCCAAGGATCAACATAGCAGCACCCTGGCAACAAGCTCTATGCCAGCAGCAGGGATAAGGACTTGGCGTAGGACCCTGAACACCACACGTGCAACCCTCTTGTGTTAGGGTAATGCTCTCTGGGCTGGATAGATTGGCACTGCAGTGATTGTCTGCCAACAGCATTGCACTAAGTGGCTCTGCTGGACCAGATCATCTGCTGTCTTGCTGCTTTATCCTCCATGGAAAGACAGTTCCTCAGCTTTGCTCCTTATCCCACAACCTTGCGTTTTATTTTACAACTGCAGTCCAGAAACCACCAATCCTGAGGCCGAAATATAATCTACTCCATCCACCCTCCCCTTCTGCCAGGGACCAGAAATCCCATTGTACTTCCTGTATTCAACCGCCTGAGACAAGTGGGAGACTCCAACTTCGGGCAACAATCCACACATCCATTTTTGTCCCATCCACTCGACACAGCTCAGATAGGAGTACCCCATTCACAAAGCCAGGACAGTATGTTGTTTATCTGAAAGAAAGTATGCTACCCGCCTAGAATGTTACATTGCTACTTGGTGTTGACTTCACTGCCGCTGAAGTTGTCCTAGAAAGGTATGCCTGATAGATGGATGGTGGGCAGTTGCAAAGGGTTAGCAGCAGCTGGGTGGTAGAGAGCAGACCTAGGGCATCCTTAAGGATAGCACTTGCCTGTTGAGAGTCTCAGGGGAGGTGTGTGTTAAGGAAGCAGGATGTCTGCTTCAAGGGGAAGAGAAGGGCAAGGAGCTCAAGGTTGGACTCCACGGACGACTGTTCCTTGTGTTTTTATGTAGAACTTAATGACTCTGGTAAGTTAAAATCCTGCTCTTATTGTTAATTATATTATGTGTTTGACTCATGAGTATTGTGGTTTTGAAGGGGTAGGTTAATGCTGAGCATGTATCCATATACAATTAAACGACATACTTAAGCAACAGCATATGATCTCGTTGTTTGTGGGTTAGGTCCACAACCATTGGTGGGTGTATATGTGGGGGAGGGGACAGAAGTAATGACACTATGATAAACTTTTTTGTGTGTGTTACAAGCAAGTAGCAAAGTACTGGAGAATTTTAAACAGTAATCATCCTCTTATGTATATTTTCCAAAGTCAAAAAATCTTTCCTACTTTCTCAATGTTTTCAGGAAGCAGTTTTAAAGACTCTTCCAGTTCTTGATAATTCTAGCTTTAAAACAGAAGATTAAAACCTGAATTTTAGATTTATGCTTTTTTTTACTACATCATCATTTGCCATGGCATCCATACTGGGCATAATTGTTTTAACCTGCCTAAATAAAGCAATAAATATCAGAGCTAGCGAGAACCTGATAGCTGGACAGCATAAATGAAGAGATGGGGAGGGAGAGGAGGAGGAGAAAGTACTTAAACAAGGGCTCTGTGGAGATAAATAGGAAGAGAGCATGTTGTGCTGAACATTTCAACCTGTAACTGTTTGGAATTTGTTTTGATAAACTAGGAAAAGAAAAGGACACCCCCACTTTAAAATGCTCTCTGGATAAGTGATGGAAATCAAGGAGTAGCTGGAGAATTAGAAGGCATCAGGGTGGATGAGCTGAATGCAGTGCACTTTCCCTCCCCATGGCCATTATTTTCACTTTTTCCTTCCGGACTCTTGCTCTTAACACCTTCCCTGTTAGGATGCCGAACCATCCTGCACTTGCCACTTTTGAAAGCACAGCCCAATTGTCAACAAGTCTGATAGAAGTAGTCAGGTGTAGGAGAGCCCAAATGATTGTAGGAGGCAGACTGACAAGCTGGGGATTGCCTTATTTAGGTTCTTCACCCTCAGCCCTAGAAAACACTAGGCTTTTTTTGGTCAATTGTGTTGGAAAGAAAAGGAGTGAAGCTTATGCAAGCTGAACAGACTCCTCTTACCGTTTAGTCAGCAAAACCAAAGAAGTCAATTTGCCAAACACAAGGATAAAACCAGTTGGCATTTTATTTGAGAGTCCTGGGTATTACAAATGAAGTGCAGCTTTGTCAACTACACGTAATGTAAACGCTGAATCAGTTGCTACTGGGGTTTACAGGTCTGGTTCAGTGGCAATTTCACTCAAAACCTTATCAACCACCATGGGCTTCAGTTTCTCACTCCTGAGCTCAGACTTCTGTTACCACACCTACATTTTGCAGTGTGAATGAGCCAGGTGTTAAACTTCCAATGGTTTTCTGGACTTGGGTAACTCCTATGACATGGATGCAGCCCTGTAAAAGAACTAGTGGTCTTATTTTAAATGCTTTTAATGTACATAAGTCAATTAAGCACAGATGAAAGGAGTCAAAATAATGCCCTGTAGCTGCAGAGAAAAGACAGCTGGAGAAGCAACAATGCAAGCTTTCCCAATAGCCCTGCCAATGTATTTCAAAACCATGACCTGAAGGGATCATTTCCTGAGTCAGAACCTCAGATTCCATACCCATTCACTTCTTGCCCTCTCTGGGTATGCCAACATTAGTCCTCAACCTCATGGGTGTCTGCATATTGTGAACAGTTTCCCCACTAGGAGCTGGATCAAGACCAAACCACTTCCTAAAGGTCACTTGACAACCAGTAGATGGTAATGACTTGGCCACTGGGGATTTCAACTGCC